TATACTCCATTTTAACGTGAAAAATAATAATTATAAAAATGTACTTCAAACAATTTCCGATTACAAAACGGAAACGTTGAATGATTCCACATTAAAAATATTGTTGCAGAGTGATGTGGTACAATGAACACAGCACTACTGATATCAACAGTGCGATAAAACAGTGCATCATTAAGCGAGGTGAGAAGACAGTCATAACAATATATGGTAATCAAAAACATTTTCATATTTCATTCTGTTGCTGCCAAAAGCTACATAAAGTTCATATGAATGAGCATACCATTAGTGGTTTGTGAACTCTTTCCAAGAATGCAATGAAACAAATCCTGAATAACTGTTCTGAAATGTAGCTAATAATGTAATTTGACTTCCTGCCTTGCGGACTCGTATTCCGTTTCTCTCATTTCAGTTAAAGCAATTCTGCCTGTCACAAGAAACAATGATGAATTTAAAAATAAGATTTTTCAAATCACAGTATTGTTTTGAATAAAATTAATTCCACAGATATAAGATGTTTGAATAGCAGTTGGATGATTACTGCAACATTTCTATTACACCATTTGTGTTAGTTTATTTTTCATGATGTCTGTTTTACACATTTCTTCCGCCCATTTCCTAGGACGTTTTGTAATCTTATATAAAAGAAATGGCAGGAAGTAAACCAAAAGTCAAACATAACGTTTGTGGCAAATCACTATCAGTGAAGTGGAGGAATTAATTTTTGATGTGGAAACATCCTTCAGGAAGATTTTACGATACCTCTAATAGAGTGACGTTTAAAATATTGGCCGAAGAGACCTAGTGGATTTTCTGTACAGAAAAAAATATGCACACGATCTGGCTGGAGATGCAATCCAGAACCCTCTGCCCCACCCACCCCAAATAACATTCCTCTGTACCATTCACTAGACATAAAGAAATATTATCACCCTTGATATGAATTAGGCCACTAATAAAGTGGAAAGAAGATGGATCTATGATACAGATATGATGGAGACATGTAAATCTGAAGACAGCCGCATCGTAGGATGTTTTGCCATTTAGTCTGGTAGATAATTACTGATATTTCAGGGTTCTGAAACATCAGTCGCTAACTACGAAACACGTGATGCAAAACACCAGAAGACAGCCATCTTTTACTCGTCACTGTGAGAATATGAAATCTCACATATGTACATCTCCTTACACGTACAAAATTTAAGATTAATTCAACAATGTCAGCCTTCTTCTTTGTTACTGACATATCCATCAGTGTGACACTCTATACTGTGTTTGAGGAACTCGGTTCCATTGCCCTTATTTAAAAAATCTAAGCTTATAAATGAATGTATAAAAAGCATGCAATAATAACTACAAGTACTGAAATGAACGTGTACCAGCCCTCTGACCTCACAAATTTTGTTAAAGCAAACCTGAAAAATGTAAATCTATGACTCATATTGTGTATCTATAACTCAAAACAAACTATTCTAACTTCGCAGACTTTAACTTTGTCTCTGAATTTAGGATTTATTTTGTCATAAGATTAGCAAAAAAATGTCTACAAATTCCAAAACTGATCTAAAACAAATATAAAGTACTGTATAAAAAAGTGATGTGGCAGATCTTTGGAGGGGCGGAAAAAATTCCTACATCATGCCTGCACTTCTGTACATTACTCAAATCAAATCTTCCAATATATCAGTCAACCATAAAAAATACATTACCCATTTCACTGTTATTAGTTATAATTGCATCCACTGATAATAGATTCCCATCCCTATCCTTTTAATTGGTGTTAGCGTCACCAGGAAGCTGGACTTTACAAATATTAATGATTTATTCCAATCTCTTCTCTGCTACGCATGTCGATATGTTATCAATTTCATTATTTTATCACATACCCTCATCTTCACAGTTATAACAATTTTTGTATAGCACAATGGAAATTTCTGCCAATATAGTAACCACTTCTCAATACATCCAACTTATTTAATCAGGTAACTTCAGGACCTAAACCGAAGTTCTTCTAGTGGCAAATATGTCTTCTAGTAGTATGTATACAGGACAAATATTATTCATCTTGATACAAAATAAGCGAACCAATTGCTAGGGAAAATGAAACAGATTCAGCAGTAAAAATTGTGTGTACATTAGCAGACCAAGTTCAGATGCGGAGACCTTTCAGGAATTTCAGTGACACTTAAAGCAATAATGAATTTAGAAACCGAAGTATTATTTTGCAAGTTCACCGTTTCTAATCCCGAATAACAACGAAATCCAAGTCACCTAAAGTAACACGTGATCTGCTGATCCAATGCAAAACAAATGAGAAAGGCAATACACTGAAGAAGCACTGCAAAGCAATGGAAACTAATTTAGTATTTTTATGTAATTACGTAGTATTCTATACCCTAATAAACTGATGGCATACACTGGCAAGCACAAAATATAAACCATCTATCAGTGATGTGTGCTGCACATGTGTCATAGTACATTCTGAAGGTTCCTTTAAAGAAAATTAATTAAAATATAATGAGTGATGGAATGGAGACCGATGGGAAGAAGGATGAGAGGGAGACCACGGAAACGATGGTTAGATTACGTGGAGGAAGATGTGAGGGAATGGAGTAGAATTGTGAATGATAGGACAGAATGGAAAAAACTCGTCGAACAAGCTAAGACCCACATAGGGTTATAACGCTACAAGAAGAAGAAGAAGAAGAAGAATTAAAATATAATAGTAGTGCTACTATCTGGTTCATTATTTCTTACAAATCCTTGAAAAAACATTAGCTCTTGGAATCAGTCATACATGCAGTTAAGGCAGCACTGAACATGTTAAAACATAAGAATTGTCAGTGTACAACCTTTTTCACGTGGACATTTAGCAGGATGGCTGAAGAGTGTTACACCTATTAGAGAGTGACATATAATGGACACAAGAAACAAAATGGAAGCAGTAGGCCACTTCTGACGGAAACAAAGTGTGGAAAAATGTCAACATGTTGGTACTAGCCGATTTTCCAGCGACACACAATTCCACATAGAAGGTTAGTGATCTGTCACCAAGTTCCCCTGATCAGTGTAATACTTATTATGACAAAAAATATCAGTGCTACTACATTAAAGCCAACTTCATCATACTTTTCACATTCCACAGTCCTGGCTTGACACTTGTTACTTGCAGTGCATGGCCGTGTAGATGCAGAACCGTATAGATTAGAACAGGGGCACGTCTTGACAGGCTTCCATACAAATAATTAGGGTGGAAATCTGTTCTGAACTAAATATAATCAACAGAGCACAAATTATACAATTCAGAAACAAGAGAGATTTTGAAATTTTAGAATCTGTGATTTCATACATCTCCAAGTGGAACTGCGTGATCTTTCATGTGTTACTTTGATCTATGTTCACAAAACATCAATAAAATAGCAAAATGGACCTGTAGCTTTACATCAGACATATCAGATCTAGTGACAATATTTAATTGTATTCACCACTGCCCTGTTCCTAGACACGTTAACATAATCAGCATAACTCACTGGTTTTTACCTGTACAACAGACTGACATATGACAATGGATTTGACTTGAATGGTGCACGAAGGCTTCTTGAATATTGGTACATTATCAAGAATGTTTTAAATTACCTGTTCAATAAACTGTATATTTATATGGGATATTAACCCCTTCACTATTATGGATGAAAGATGAAAATATTTCATCAGTTGCACAAATTGATAAAATATCAATATTTTTTTTCTGAGTAACTCTGCACACCAATGGAAGTTATTAAGAGTTAAGAAATTAATATCCTATCAATAAATTATTATTTTCAAAGATAATTAAATATATGTATACGTGCAAACACTAACCAAATTGTAGTTGGCTGCAAAATCTATTATAAGTAATCATGAAAGTGTCTTGGTTCATGTGAAGTCAGATCTAATTAAAAATAGTCTGCTGCGGCAAGACGGAAAAACTTAGGCGCTGTAAATGTTAGTTTTAGCACCTTTGTATAAATACAAAACAAGTTACAATTACAGCAGTAGGCCTTAATCAGCAAAGTAATAAAAGAAAATCTCTGTCTTTAAATAACAGTTTGTATGATTTTGGCTGACATGCTCGACAAGGAAATCACTCTCACACAACATATCAATTGAACAGTACATGAAAAAAAATTACCAAAAAAGGATACAGGCACTCTGATGGCAATGAATATTTAGTTAGTGCTATGAACTTCAATATATGTGTATACTGAGAAAAGTCTAAATATGCAAAAACCATGATGCAGATACAACTTACTGTTATAATTTACTGGCTGCTTGGCCAAATCCAATTATCAAACTTGTTCACAGTTACTGTACAGATCTGGAACAGTTTGGAGTGAGAATGGAAAATGCTACATACGCAGATTTCCTATTCCTAAATAAAATCATGTCTGCCACATGTCAACAAAACATTCTCAAACTCTTTGTTTTGGGTTTCTTTGCTGTTCCTTCATTTAGGGTTCTGTTGTACACTCTTAAATAATTAGTTGTTGAATACAGTGTATATATCATTATTATAAACTGACAACCTACAAGAGTCAAATTTAATAATTTTACTTAAAATTATTCATTGTCTGGACTTTTTCCATCGTCTGTTCTTTAAAACCACGACATTTCAGAGGCAGGTTCTGTCTCCGTTTTCAGGTGAGAGGTACCTACTCTGTTGGGTCCCTTAGATAGAGCTAGTCTCTGTCACTGGACGATGGAAAAAGTCCCGACAATGAATAATTTTAAGTGTAAACTACCGTCGTCAAAACCCTTTAGAATTGAATTAATAATTTTAGCTAACTGTAATGTTTTTCACTAGAATTGGCGGCTGAAACTTGCACTAAGCACATGTACTGTGACTTGCAAGGAATTACGGAAGCAATAGAACATATCGTGATACCATACGTATTATTGTGGAACAATGGTTTCCAACTATGTTCATTTGTTTCATTAAATACATTTTCATGCAAAGAATTAAGAACTCAAGGATGTTGTATATTAATTTGCAAATCTGGTTACACAACTGCATACTATTTTTCATCAGAAAACAAGGTTACAACACTATGCACAGAAGAAGTGTAAACTTGCAGAATGATGCTGCCAATTCTATTGTAATTTCCAACGATAATACAAAACCAAGTTCCTAGTTTATTTCTATTCCTTGTGCCAGTATTCTCACCGACACAGCTGAATGCAAACAAAATATCCAGTGCCATACTAATTAATAATGTACCTTCCCCTCGCATGTGGCCCATCCCTTTTCAACTATTCCATTCATAAATTGTGTACACACAAATTTTAGATGTTCGAATATGCCAGCATTAGCATGGCATGCCTTGGAGGGAATATGAACATCTACAAACCTCTTCTGCATCAAAATGACAATATACAAAAAAATGTCTTACTGTGAAATTAACATGTAACTGGAACCTAATAGCCAGTGGGAAAAGTGCTTAACAGAATAAAGGAACACAATGATGAGTACACTTCCTTTGTCCTCACCTGTTTGTAGGCTACATCTGCAACATCTTGTTCCACACAGCCTCATGTCCCATCATTCCAGTACCCTTCAAGACCATGGGCACATTGCATCTGTTGCCCAATATAATTCGAAGGCCAAATGATGCACCAATCCCATCTCAAACAAACAAAAAGGCTGTAAACTGGAAGCTGCCTCCATGCTATACACAATCACCAAATGACAGTACGTGTGCATCCAAATTACCAACAGTGTGATCCAACACATCTTGTTAAATGTAACTAATGCTAACAACAGACATTGCAATGTCTAATATGTTCAGAAAATACTTCCACTGATCAATGACTTTGGAATCGACAAGCCGTTACGCAGTCTTCGTCAACGCCATTGTCCACAGCGGGGGCTAGGTCCACTCGTTGTCTGGAATCGTGATTACAGTAAGAAATTGTACTGTACAGCTTGGACAAAACCACTTAGGCACCTATGCTCCCTTTCAAATGAGCCATTCAATATTCTGATTGAAATTACTCAATCTTCACACCTCTTTGTTCCAAACGCTCACCAACCAGAAATGTCATATTGTATCAATTTAACATTCCCTCATTAGATGCCTACATTTTTTCACTGAGCCATCCTACACCTTTGTTAGAGTTACATACATCTTACTATTGAGCCATCTTAATCAGAAAGCCTTAGTAGCAGAGTTACTCAAACTCAAATTAGAATTTTTACACAGTAACCACACTGTTTTCATTAGAATTAACACTGCCATAGGCTAGCCAATTAGAAATATCCTTCACTATTAAGCCACCAGGTGCTTGGTGAACTTCGGAACATGTCTTGACTGCGGCCCAGAGCGTTCTTGTTGCCCATGTGATATCGCCGTCGTCATCATCTCATGTTCGATACTACTACGGCAAGAGTCATGACGAAGAACAGGGAGGGAAATGCAATTGCCGTCATTGACACAGCACTTGTCGATGCCTCCGCACACTGACCTGAAAAAACAATGAATGCCTGCAACCCAAGCCTCAGTAATACTAACATAAGCTACAAAAGAAAATAATATAGGATTTGAGACTTTTGCGGCAAGTACAATCAATAAAATCTTCTCAGGCAATCAGTCACATTAACTGGTTACTGTAGTAAACCGACGTTTTGGAAACAAATTGTCCCCATCTACAGAGTTTGTTCCCGAAATTTCGGTTTACTACGGTAACCAGTAAACACGGCTGATTGCCCGAGAAGATTTTATTGAAAGGAAAATAAATTTATAGTAATTTGATATGAATCTCCCTCACATTCAATCTTGAATGAAATAAATGTATCCCATCAACAAAAAAACAAAACGCAGCTCACTATGATAAAATCACATTCAATCACACTTCAAGGTTAATGTGGATAATAAAATTAATCTTAGATAAGTAGGTTATGAGAATGGGAGATGGATGGAAGTGGCTCAGCACTGTGTCTAATAGTTCATTTTGGTAGGTTCTGTGAAATTAAACCTGAGTTGCATTAAGAGATAAATTATGTGGTTAGTTAACCGAGAGAGGGGGGGGGGGATGATGATGATGATGATGATTTTTCTTTTTTCTTTTTACTTTTTACTTTGACACCATGCAGTAAGTGGTGACCCTTCAATATCAGCCTACAATCATTTTACTTACTGAATGCTGCGGTTTTATATTAAGGCATTTTTAAACAAGCATCAGAGGTTAAATCTTCACTCTAAAAATGTGATCATCATTCTCCCCAGTATTTGGACTACTTAGCATGTTCTTACCTCATCACCAGACTAAATGACAAAATCATTATACGATGGTAGCCGACACATTCACCTAAAATGTGGCCAGATTCATATATTTGGAAATGACAGTAACAAATCAAAATTGCATTCACAAAGAAATAAAGGGCAGACTAATTTTGGGGAATGCTTGCTTTCACACAGTTCAGAACCTCTTTTTTTTTCTGCTATCTGAAAACGTAAAGATTAAAATGAAAACTATTATTTAATACCTGTTGTTTGGTATGGCTGTGAAACTCTGTCTTCCACATTAAGCAAAGAAAATAGATTGGGGATGTCTCGAAACAGGGTGCAAAGAAGGTTTTAACTGAAGAGGAATGAAGTGGAAGGAAGCTACAAAAAATTGCATACTGTACAACTCCACAATTTGTACTATTTATCAAGTATTATTAGGATGATCAAATCAAGGATGAAAGGAGGATAAAAATGGGTGGGGAATGGAGAAGATGAGATACGTACACAAAATTTTGTTGGAAAGGTAAAACCACTCAGAACACCTAGACATAAATGGGAGGATAATATTAAACTGAATCTTAGGGAAGCAGGGATTCATCTGGCTCAGGATAGAAATTGGTGGCAGGTTCTTGTGAACATGGCAACAAACGTTCAAGTTCATTAAAAGGCTTGAAATTTCTTGACTGGCTCTATCAGCTTCTCAAAAAGGACTATGCTCCATGGAGTTAGTTCATCATGTATCTTGAAACTAAAGAGGGTCTAGCATTTGGCAAGTACCTGTTTTTGCAATCAGATGCTCTTCTTTATGAGATAGTGAACATCTTGGAGAATTAAAATTACTAGCCTGTTCCAGCATTTATTAACACAAAATCACTTGATTATGTACATATGTTACGAACCAATGATTGTGAGATTGAATGCCCAGGCACCTGTAACCCCCGGGTTGATATTTCGATGGCAGGATTCTGTGACACTGGACAGCCTCAGCATAGCAGACACTGGTCCCACCCCATTACGCTTGTTTCCAACTGCTTGCTGCAAAAGCCCCATGCTAGATTCCCCATCGCTGCGCGTGTAGATGAAGCAGAATCGTCGGGCTCCAACCGACTTGCGACTGACAGGAGATGCAATCAAGTAGCTGGTTCCATTGTCTTCCCAGCTGCCATGGCAAAAGTATGCTGTAAGTTCAAAATAAGCAAGTATGTTAACTTCATAATAAGAGACGTCACATTATTTACTACAAGGCTGTATGAAATTTCAAAGTGAGATCTGAATGCAGAACAGTGCTGATTATCTATGGTAACTGAAACACAGTTTACGTAAATGATAAAGAAGTCTGTTTAACTTGAAATATCATATGAGTAATGTAAAAAATATAAACATATAGCAAGATTACCGAGGTTCCATCTGGTCTAGATCCACTCCTTCCGAACTATAGCACCCCCTCCCAAATCATAACTTACAAGCAAACTTACAGTTTACTGCACTGCTATTATGTTAAAAGAAGACGATACAATAACAAGATTGTTCATATTAGTTTTAAGTCATTGAACCTTGTCACATTTTCAAAAGATCACTACTGATTTGTTACATTACGATTCTGTCTCGGACTTTATTTGCGGAAAGTTAAAATATTCTTATGCACTCATTTCTCGTCTTTACAGACTTTTGGGGGAATTACTGCATTTAAAAGGTAAAAAACCAGACTTTACACTGAAGCATATAAATCATCATACCAGATACAGTTTCTGTGTCACACGAAGAGTAGAACTCCATGGTATCCGAGTTCTCTGAGCATCCAACAACAAGAGATTCAAAGTCATAACTGCCACACTCTGCCTTGCTGTCCACATCTGCATTGTCTACCACTCCTTGTTCATCACTGCATTTCCTCTTCCGACGGGCAGCTGACACCTGCCGTCCATCGACACTCAGCCCACTGACGGTGTAGCGCCCCAAGTATGGACATCTCTTTTTATGGAGTGATGTAGCTGCAATAAAAGTGTGACAGTCATGCAAGTACAAATAAAAGTACCAACACAAAAACATGAGATGGTACCAACTGAAGGATTTAAAACATGGTTACAGCCCGCAGAGAAAGCCAGCAATTGAGATGGCAGAGATGGCATATCAAGAGAAAGAAATATCCAAGATAAATGGTACAATTGTGATGTTGTGTATCCAAACTGAGGTTTCCCATAGTTTTCAATGAGCCTGCCACATGAATGCCAGAATAATACCTTCAATAAATCATGATCACTTCTTCCATAATCATCTCGGTTCCTCATTTATAACAATCCTATGATAACTTATAAATCTATTATGAAACTTCACCTCTTTTATTATTTTTTATTTAGTGTTCTGTCTGACGACAGGTCCATATGAACAGGATCCTTCCATCCTTTTCCCAGACTTGGACCTGTTCAGATGATCCAGAAGTGGTTTGCCACTGCCTTCTTCTGTGTGTGAATGGAGTAATTGTTGGGATGCCACGGAGAAACCGGGGAAGCCCCCGGAGGAAAACTCCGTGTTGCCTAGACCACGGCCTTGCCCAACACAAGTTATAAATTCGGGCACCGCCGGGAATCGAACCCGAGACCCCAGGATTACAAGGCCAGTGTTCTAACCGCTAGACCACCGTGGTGATTCATATTCTGCTTTGTGGAATATGAAACCCTCACATCTGCAATGAGGGAATGTGGAGAAAATGGTGTAGGACAATTCAAGATAAATGTGGAGTATTTTCTTTTTGTTTTATATGAAAGAACTGAGGAAAAGTACAAAATACCTAAATCATAAGCAAGAGAAATATGTAGTACTTACTTAATGTTCTTTATGAATACACGGACAGACAATGTCCAAGTTGAATGGCGTAGAAGGCATAATACAAGATTAGAGACTTAGTATACAAACATTTTAACTACAAAGGAATATGTAAATGATATCAATGTACATTATGAAATTAACAGATGTTGCACCACACAGCACTCAGCCTTCTAATCAGTAAATATGGTTACTGTCATTTTCAACGCATAATTGTATTTGCTGCCAAGTGCACCAGAAGGCCCACTGAACATTAACGGGTGTGGTGGTGTTGAAGGTATGGAATTCTAACCTTTTAACTCAGTTACAGCATGCACATGAATTGTGCATACCATCATCATAACACACATCTTCTTTCCTTTACTCATGACAAATCTTATTATGCCTTACAGACCATCCAATTGTGACTTTCGGCCATCCCGGCACATTTAAATAAAACACAGCCAACAACTGCAAAATACTCTTCCAACGTGTGGAGAATCTTCAGATCATTAGCAGTGCAGTGACCTCAAAATGAATATTTGCTACTTACTTATAAGTGTTATGTATGGTAGAGTAGCTGGATTAAAGTTGGCAGGACTGCATGCCTCTTCTGGCACTTGGACAAACAGAGCTGCAAGCAAAGCATTCAAGAAATATTAATGCATATTAATTCAGTTACTCCACATTTCATTCTGAGAAGTTCAACTCTTTGTGTACCTGCCTGTCCGGTCCCCTCGTAAAAGATCGGAACAAGTTTCTCTTAAACTTAAATACATCGTGCAAAGTACGCATACAAACTTTCTTATGTCCGGTGCAAATAACAAGAAATAAACAATAAATGTGTATTAGAAAGTAATATTCAGAGACACTGGTATTTCAATTTTTAATGAACGTAACAACACAGAATAACAAAACAAACTGATTTAAAAGTAACACTGTAAAGTTTCTATTTCGGTTGTATTATATCAATATGGGCTCCCTGACATACACAATGTAGCTTCATTGGAAAACATGACTTGGCTTGAATCTTCTATATTCATACACATCAGCATAGCAAACAAAGAGACATAAAATATATATCAAGGGTTGTAAATAGGCATAACTTTCAAATCTGAGGTTCCAGTACATCCAACACACACAAAACATAAAAAGGGATACTTCTAAGATAAGCTTGCAGTATACAATTACGAGCTCAAAAGTGACAGGTCTGATTTTTGTTGCAGAAAGAAACGACAAACAGCAAAATGGAATTTTAAGATCCTTGATAATTATGCTTTTCCACAGCCTCAGGGATGTCTTCTCGGTCGTTGCACCATGTAGTCCGGTAGAAGTCTACACATATTTCAGGGTGTTTGCTGCCTCCATCACCAAGGCAATCGTTGCCTGAATAATGGAGGCAGCGAGGACCTCTGAAACAGTAAACTTCTAGCAGACTACAAGGAATAACCCAGAAGCCAGCCGTTTCATACTCACTGCTTTGAAAAGCTAAAATCTCACTGACTACCTACTTTCTGAATAAATATAAGGGTAATGGACTGATTTCTAGGTCTCCCACTTCAATTTTTTCCTTATTTGGGTGTCATGTGAAGAACAAAATGAAAAGTTAAAATATTAAGAGTTAAAATTAGTTACCCAGGATATACAGTCTGTACGAAGGTTAATTAAAAATTATTGGACTATTGACAACACTAACGCAAACCTCCCCGACACCAGAAATGTACTTAAACAATGAATAAAGAGGACACTCTAATTTGTACTTACTGCTCTGCTGCAGTTCAATGACATGACCCTCACGCCTGTAGAATGCCATGCAGACATAGCCACTGTTGCTAAAACATGACGGACAATGTGTTACCAAATGAAAAATCAACCTCCTATACCAAATAAAAAAGAAATAAATATACAAAATCAGAATTTGTAATTAGATTACAAGTTATATCTGTTTAGAATGTAATTTACATGAAAAACACATATGTAAGAGAATAATTACAAATACACCCTCTCTCAGACACAATAATCAAACAGACAGAAATGGAAAGAACATGTTTTCCGGCTATAATAAAAAGAATCCTAGATAACATTTTAAATATGATTGCACAGAGCCTCTATACACATTCTGATCTGGGAGGTTAAAAGTGGAGTAATAACAGCAGACATGGAACAAGGAAACAGACTAAGCACTGAAGAATATAAATTATGAAAAACTTTAATGAGGATGGCAGAAATACTAGGACCAATGAATCAAAATCGCCTGATAGGAATGCTGACTTCATTTCTGCAGCTTAGAAAATCTATACTTGATACACCTCTGGTAAGACTGTTGTCAGTAATGCTGTGGTAGACTGAGTTACCATATCTTGTTCATGCTGAACTGTTTTATAACATATTCTCTACCAGTCACTCATCATGTTTAGTCTGACAACAGCACAGCTTTAAGACGGTGCCAGGAGAGGATGAAAGGAGAATGGCTAAACAGAGAGGAACTGACTGTTCCCAAAATCAGGGGTGGAAGTGGAATCTCCACTTGTAATTCACATATTTTCCAGGGTTTTAGATTCATTGGTCACCCTGTAGTGAGAGTGGCAATAATCGATAGAGGTATGATGGTATCACCTTCAAAAATAAATCCATATTACTAGTTTTTATAAAAACTTTCCCCCATGGCATATCAAGTCCCACTGCTGATAGTACTGTTATAACGTTATCACCCAGTGAGTTCCACTGCCACTGAACATTTTAGTCAAGTTCTGAAGGAATCACTTCACGTAGCAAACCTCATGCAATGTAGCAATCAGGTTATAAATAAATCTGTTCTGTCAGTAATGATAAGGTCATTATACTAACCACCCACTCGTGGCATGGGCAACTACGGTGACTTGATGGTGTGACGTGTGGTATTCATTGTGACACACTACCCGCATCTCCTGCCCTCCCTCCTCTCTGGTGATGCGCAGCGTAGTATTCTTATGAAGGATCACAAAAGACTGTGAATGGTCCAGTGTATGCCAGTGGTGATGGTCAGTGATAAATGTAGGGTAGCGACACCGGCTGTGCTGATTTTCAACTGCAACAGACGAGTGTTAACGATCACCTAAAGATCTGTGATAACAGCTGATTAACTGCAAGTATATATTAGCTACAGAATATTTTTCTGATTCAGAATATCTCTCAACTTGCTGAGCATAATGTCACATTCTCAAGAAAGACTCCGCTGTAGGTTTTCTTTATCAACTGTTTACTGAAGCTTCGGCTGGGGGTTCGTCGTGCTGACCACACGTCATTCTACATCTGGTTGGATGATCGTTCACCTCTGCTTAGGCATGTGAATGTGAGGCCAGCAGTCAAGCTAGTCGGCTTTGGCTCTCTGGAGCTGTTATGCCACGGATTTAATTTAATTTTTACTGAAGCTTCAGCGTCAGCACGCTTCTTCTTGTTCCAGAGTTTCAGATGTTATTGCTTTGCATGCTAGCTTCTTCTAATGGTAGTAGTGAAGTGAAGGGGGTTGGCCTAGTCTAACCTAATATAAGAAATTTAATGTATTTTATTGGATACTGAATGTTCATTACCATGTTCACAAGAGCCTGCTACCAATTTTTGTGTTGAGCCAGATGAATCCAATCAACACACAACCTATTTGCCTAAGATCTGTTTTAATGTTATATTAACGGTGCTTAGGTCTTCTAGGTGGTCTCTGCCTTACAAAACGTCCAATTAAAATTCTGAATACATTTCTCAATAGTTCGTTGGCTAGTTATGTTTTTACATTACTGACAGGAAGACAAAATATTGTGAACTGCAACGTAGCAACCATTCCCAGATGTAATCTGCTCTTAATTTCTTCATGAATGCAATTTTGATTTCTTCTTTTCTTCCCAAACATTCAAATTTTGTCATACTTGGATTTATTAGCTACCGTACTGTAATGTTTCTGTCCTATAGTCTGGTTATGAGGCAAGACATCCATCACGATGAGAAATTGTTTTCGCCTATTCAAGTGATCCCATCATTTCATACACTTTGATTCGACGGCTGTAACAGTGTCAGGCATAACACAAGCAACATACTTGTTGTAAGTTTCATTGTGCGAGAACCCTCCAGAGCAGAGGGAAGCCCATTGCATGTTGCATCGCCAGACTGTGCCACTTGGTAAACCTGGTGATGGCTGTGTTGGTGCTGTTGGTCATATACAAAACACCTGTACCGGTCTTCATCTGATGTAGCCATCTTATGGTACAGTTTTCCCACCAGGTAGCGTGTAGAACCATCTTTCCATGTGGCTAGACATTCAAGCTCCTCCACTGGAAAATTGAAGTACAAACAAGTTCTGACATCTCGGAGATAAACTGGAGACATTCAAGCTCCTCCACTGGAAAATAGAAGTACAAACAAGTTCTGATATCTCGGAGATAAACTGTCAGAACATTCACTTTAGACTCATTTCTAGATATGAGTATAATAAATCCTGATGATAAAATTAAATTAGTTTTATAAACCATTGATCACTACCAGGGAAATATTGCACTTATTTCTTCATATCATTGTGTATGTGAAGGAATACCTAGATATCATATTACTTTTATTTTAGAACATTCATCTAAAATAGTACTGTTTGGGATCATGTTCTATTCAGACGAGTGAAACGTAACCAAAACCATCAGAACCATTTTCAAGAAAATTTCCATCTTCTGTTACAGGTTTCATACAAAATCTAATTTTTAAGCTAGTATATTTTAAATTTATACAATGTAAACACTTATATTCCTAAAGCCAAAATATGAATAAAACACACTGAACTGTTCAGATTCTAAACGAGGGCACAAGTAACTAGTAGCATTCCAAAAGGAGAAATTATGACAGATGGAAAACATATTTTTCTTAATGCTACATAATATTTTGTTCATATTATAAATATAAAAAAGTAAACTGTCGCAACAGATCCAGAACCACATTCCAAAGGCCATAACAAATAACGCTCTGTATTATATATGCAGCTGAATGGCAATTTCACCCCATGTTAAAGGAATACAGAGTAATTGCACCCTCCTGAATGAATTCTCATAAATACTAATGACACAATTTAAATTAATAAGTCGCACAGAGCTGCCTATTAATTCAAAACTAATAAGTCTCACAAACCTGCCATGACCTTCGCTACAAGTGCCTACCCAGATAAGTCAATAAGTTTATTTCTGAGATGCGGGGAATGAAAGCTGGTACAGGTGACCTATTCTCTTAGGATGGGCTCCACAGTCGAGACCTGATATTTCGCACATTTTCAAGTTTAACTATGACACGAGGCAGGAGAAAAACCTGAATACATATGAAGAGGATTGACCCAAGACCTTCTGAGCATGTTTACCAGGTCCCTGTGTAATAAAATGCCATTTCCATTAATTTGTTCATGACAAATGATGTGAGGAAAGTTAATGCCATCACTTCATAATATGGTGGAACATGGTGCCAAATTACAGACACACATACTTGAAAACCTTGACTTAATTAGTCTTTGTGTTTATGTAATCAAAATTGATAAGAACAAGTTACTCAAGAAGTTAAGAAGCTGACATAAGCTACGGAAGGTGAAATTCTCAACAACAATAAAAACACAGAACAGGATTGCACATGGTGTTTTATTCTTTCTGGTTTGCCTTGAGTTTAATATAGAACATGATCACATTACAAACTGTAATTTGAAAGCTACAGCAACAAATTAGGGTCTGAAATGTGTCATAAACAATTCTAGGTAGTACAGCGAAGTAGGCTGTCATAACAGACTCCAAAACTGACACGTTATCAATCGCCAAAATCTACCACAGCGTGTTTTAATTTCAAGAAATACCAGGTTCAGAATAAAAGGAAGAGAATACCAAAACCAGATTATAGCATAAAGTCTAAGAGGCAGAGAAATTTCAGAACAGTGAAGAGATGGCATAAGATGTAATAAGCTGCACCTGACACAACGATAAGGCGAAGGAAATTTTATAGTCCTAACTACAACTTCTTACTGTTCTGACCAAATCCATTCCATTAAAATAATAAACTAATTATTAAAAATGACAAACCTGCACTTTCTGTGCCTTGTACATCGGGGCAGGCCTGATACCTCAACAGAAGTTTAGACTCATCTGTACAAGAGTCCACCCTTGACACTGGGCTCCCGCACTCCCCCGATCCTCGGTTATATGTAAAGGTGAAGGGTGCACCTTTAAAAGGGCAGGGGACAGGTAAACCAGCTGGTTCAGCCCGAAACATGGAGAACAAATTGGCGTCGCCTGTTATCTGCCCACACATATGGTCCAGACTCTCTCTCGAATCACAGTATGCTGCAATAAATACACGTCATGTAACCCAACTTCAAAATATATGCTATCAATAAATAACCCATAGAAAAATACAGCTAGTCTGCAATAGGCATTTCATGAGAACTTCATGACAAATTACAAAGTATTACCTTTTGCTTTAAAAGCAAAATAACATCTTACATGAGCAAAAGAATAATAAAACCTCTTATGAAGAGAACGTGTCTATCAATACAACTGAGACATAATATCAACAGTGCACTTATGGAACAAGATAAAATTCTAATTAATGTAAAGGACTTAAAAATATTTTTAAACCAATTCTTTACTTTAAGTTTTTAATTAACTTGTACATTTATCCTAATAAATTCTTTCCAAAATAAAAACTACTATATCAGAAATGTAGTGAACTAAAAATATCATGCTCTGTACAATATTTTCAAACAATAAGCAATAAGTACTTTTGCACACATTAGTTTACATGGCAAACCTGGTTATCATGGTATGTCATGAAATAAAATAACAACGCAAAACATTCAAAAAAGCTTTAAATTATTGTTGGGATGTCCAGATATTTAGATCTATTTACATATGTAAAAATATAGTTGACTCATAGACATTTTTTAATGGGAACACAGCAAATAGTGTACGTATGAGTGGTCTTAAATGAGAAGCACAAAAATGTGGATAACTTTATTCAACATAATATAAACCAAAAGTTAATTTCCTTGTCCACCAACATCCCACTATTGACACGGATGAATCCAATCTTAAAATGTCGGGTCTCATTTTAAAAAATCGTCCTCTGTTTACGTTTGTCCTTCATTACAACAATTATGACACACCACTTAAAAGAACAGAATACTGCATACTTACTCTCCTTGTACTGTAACACATTTGGGTGCTTCTCGTGTATAACAACGCATCGGTAACAGCTGTCCACTCTGCAAGCAAGAAACCGTATTTAGCTGCAAATGACATCGTAATTATCCACTGTACAAAGCCAGTAGTCACCATCACGGACCTAGAGGATCAGACTTCACATATTCTAATTACGACCACATACATTACGTGCATCTGTGGCTAAATTTTTAAAAATTCAGCTTGACTTGACTCAGACAATGTATTACCAGCCTTAAACATCTACCGGAACAGAAACCAACCGGTCAACAAGTGGCCCAGCTCCTTATACAACAGACGCGCTCTTTGTAAGATCCCAAGTATGCATTCCCAGCTCTATACAGGTGGGAAGTAGCCAGCTGGAGCCACCAATTAGATACAAGGTGCGATCGGAAAGTTTCTAGACTGCGCCTATAAAAACCCGTACACTTATCTCAGGTATTAAATTCATCCATCACCCTCGAAGTAGTTCCCCTGGGAGTGAACACAACGATCCCAGCGCCGCTGCCAAGCCTGGAAGCATCCCTGGAAATCTTTCTTTGTCAGCCTCTCAAGCACCATCTGCGATTCTGCCTGAATCTCTTCTATCGTCTCAAATCTCCTTCCCTTTAGCTGAATTTTCAACTTTGGGAAGAGGAAGAAGTCACACGGAGCTTAGAAAGGAAGCTGGGGTCGGTTCTTGCAAGATCTTTAAACTCCTGACAAACGAGAAGTCGATTCTGCTTCTAGTCCTCTGACAGGATGCGTCGCATGTGGAGTTCTTCCTTTAGAATCAGCTGACAGGTCCCATAGCCTATCCCAAAAATGTCGCACAAGTCGTTGATGGTACGACGTCGATCTTTTTGTTCATGAAAATCCGCCATTCCGAAATCGCAGGAGGGTCGGTGTAATGCACTACCAAAACGCCCGTAACTAAGAAACAAATGCTAATTCGATGATGCCGGCTGGCACACTGATTCACTATGAATGTAGGCCGCACCCCCTAGCGGCAGAAGCTCGTACTACATCCGGTTCGCCCGCTATTGACTCAGTCTTGAAACTTTCCGATCGCACCTCGTAGACCTCACCATTACGTGTCATTAGCATAGAAGACTCGAGCCACCCCAGCTTTTAAGACCATTTCTTAATCATTCTGAAAGGAACTGTAAGTCGCATCAGTCCACAGCCTATTAGAAGTTCCCAAATTTACAGGCAGTATGTTATTCCTGAATTTTGAGCTTAGTAACACCAGGGAAACACTGATGGAAAAATTCTAAAAGCGTTCAAATTTATCCAATAGTGATGTGATTCATATCTTGTCACTGTCGCCAACCACCTGTAAAGGAGATGGCGTAATAAAGAAGAAGCTATAAGTGATACATGCAGAGAATTACAGCTATGCTCCCATCTGTCTACGTCCACATGCCAGTGGATTATTGATTCCAAGCAGCAGTAAAGCAGAATGCCAACTGTATACATTCCAGGATATTATATGCTCTCCTTTCACTTATTATTATTCTCATGGCAAAGCGAAAGAGACCCGACCCACCCGAACACTAATTATAACTTCGCAGAAACCACAAATATAATCCAACTCTTATCGCACTAACGTTCGCGCAATTATTACAGACACAAATGGAGTTCACGCTACAGTGAAACTGTTAAAATTCCTGTACTTCACAATTATATAATTTGTACATTCCCGTCGTGTTTTGTATTGTGACAGTGGTTTTAGGCAGTATTCATCGGAAACAAGAGACTTTATTAAGTTTATGAAGCTCAATTCTTAGTTTCCTTTGCTGCGTTCACAAAGAGCAGTGTGTTTTGAAGGGAGTCTAGATAAATTTCTACGTAAGATCTGCACTCCTTCTCCACAGGCTCGGCAGCCCAACTAAACAACTTTATATTTAACTCGAAAGTATCTAGAGATTCACTGCTACATTCTCACATTCCTAAGTAAAATACAAAGGTATATTATGTTCTCAACTTTAATTTAATCTAAATTTGAAAAGACCTCTACTAATAAATGTTCCGCCTTCAGAAAGCTGAAGGAAGCATGAAAATTGTCTTACCTTAAAAGTCACTTTTCCTATAAAGTATGTTCGTTAAACTGAATTTAGAACCACGTATGGCAATCATTATTAATTTTTTAGTGTAGAGTAGGGATCTCCAAAGTACAGCCTGTGGGTTGGATGATCATTGCAAAAAATCTTAATTTTCCAATTCATTTTCCACGTTTACTAATAAAATAACTTAGATTCGTATACTGGGCATCTACGTTTCCAAAAAAATGTTTCATCCTTCGCAGTCGGGCCCACAAACACTGAATTTACTGACGACAGGGCACACTTGTGAAAAAGTTTGGAGATCCCCATGTTCGTTAAAATTCGTCTCGAAAACGACTGCTTAAAATTTTTCAAAGGTATAAGACAGACAGTAACCATTACAAAATAACACTGTTTAACATAAGTTATTGTTAAAACAATGCAGTAATACACGTTCTTTTCAAAACTGTGGTTCAAGAAATGGAATATGAGTTACGTTTTAATTGCATAGTGTTCCTAGATTTAAGGCCTGAGAGAATTACTAACGTTATTCCGTTCTGATTTAGCAGAGCCATGAATAAATTCTTTAAAATGGTTACATCAGAAAGGGAACAAATGCATCAAAACAAGCATACATATTACCAAAATAATGTTAATCTCTTAATACAACATTACCACGTAAAATCTGTACATTACAGTATAGCGGTATACAGTGGTTAAAACTATAAAGCACAGTGATACTGCAAAAATTCGACGTCTAATATCAAAACTTCCAGATACTAAAACTGCACGTTTTCACAAAGTTAAATCACTTGCATCATCGCCGATTTCTTGCAGATTCAAGCGTTAAAAGCGATTACGAAATCACGAGGTTCTTTCCAGAACTTCCTGTTGCCAACTTAAGAACACAGGAACGCATGGCATTTGTTTTATTTTTCAACGCTGATATGTATCTGAAATATTTAATATTATGTAATTCGCTTTATTCATGCAAAGTGTCTGTAACTGTGTTTTTCAATTTCAGAGAATAAAACCAAGCACAATATGTGTCCAAGCTAGCAGATGTGTAGGTCACATTGTAATAGACTACTAAGAGTACTAAATAAAGCCACCTGTGATGACTCACCTGTCCTCTACTATAAACTTGTCTCCCTGACCCTCCACACACTCTCCTTTGGTTTCTATGGAGGTTGAATTGACAGTGAGCAGATGAGGCACTCCAGACTGGAACCAGTGTCCTGACCATTGTTTCGGGAACTGGCAACCACCTGTGAACAGACAACATAAATCACCAAGTTACCTATTAAAACTACTAACCGTGATTGCATGCCCCACGCGATCAGCGGAGATGACGTTCAACGTTCAGTCATCATTACGTGGAAAGGTCCACTGTAGACAGTAGTGTTGTTCCACTTATCAACTGATTCCGTTCAGTCAAAAAATTATTGAATAACCAACAGTCTGAAGTTTTCTGTCTTCTGGGTTATTGCGCTGTGTAGTCTGGTCGATGTTAACCAACGTTTCAGAGGTCATACTGCCTCCGTCATCAGGGCGATGAGTATGAAGATTTCTGTCTTCTGGGTT